GACTTTTATGCTCCTTTCAGCCTCTGTCTGTTAATTTCTGCATAAAGAAAACTTCATCTACTTGCTTGTTGCTAATTTCAGGTTTTTTTATGTTAATTTCAGATTTTTTAAATTTAAGCCTCTCTCTGCCTATTTCCCTTTATTCTGCTCATAACTGCTGTTTTTCTGCTGCTTATCTTCCTGCTTTCAGCAAACATCAGCTGTTCAAATTCAACTTGCAGTAACTATATTCAGCAATGAAACCTTTTAAGCCTGGTTTCAACTTCTAAAGCAGCTTTCAGCAAAAATCATTCAGTATTAAGTTACTGCATTTTCACAGAAAATACAATTTCTCTAGTTATTTATATGGATGAAAATCTTATTGACCAAAATGTTGGTGTTGACTACAAGGTGTGTGAAAACATTTGAAAACTTCACATCAGACCACGTTTCTGCTACATTTTAGCCAATCGTTTGATTTCTCTGAGAGGCTTTAGACATCAATGATCCAAAAACAACATGAAAAAAAGAATCAAGTTCATTTCATTTTATGGTTCAAGAAATTTATATATGTCACATACTCATTTATTTCATTAATCATTTACAGAAGTCACAGTAAGACAGAGCAGCAGATGACAAATAAATAAATACATAAAGTGTCATACATGTTTAATACTGGATGTGATTTATTGTTGAAATCTGTGAACACACACACACACACACTGGTTTCAGCTCCTGCTGAGGACAAACTATTGTTTTACCTTCAGATTATATTCCGTTTCCTTATCTCACACAAATCTGTTCTTCACTCTTAACTCAACCTTTGTGAGCAGATTATTTCCAATCACAGACCCCTTCATGCTCCATTTCCTTGCTTTCTTCTACTTCTTTCTTCAGATTCATCTTTAAATGCTTTCCGATAAGCATGAAGTAAAATCCAGCATTACACAAGCATTATTCTGTCTGATGTATCAGAAAAGTTGCTTCTAAGTGAAGCCTGTATGAATAAATGTTTTTATTTTTCATCATTTGGAGCCATCAGTCAGTTCAGACCTCGTGCTTTAAACCCCACATCTGCTCATGTTATAACAGTCTTAACACTGATGTGGATTTTGAGGCTGACATGACCTGTGATGGACTTGTGACCTGTCCAGGGTGTCCCCCGCCTCTTACACAGTGACTGCTCCATGGGCACCTGTGACCCGAAAAGGAAGAAGTGGGTAAAGATAATGGATGGATGGATAAAAATAGACAGTTTGGGGGAAAAAAAGGCAGAAGAGAACATTTGGTTTCTGGTTTTTGCATGTTATAAAAACATAATTCTAATAATTAAATTGAACTCTGCTTGTTGCACGTCTTTGAGGGCAGTTTGAGTGCATTCTTGAAACCAACTAATTTTCTTTAATAAAACTTGTTTTTATTTGAATGTATCATGACAAGAGCCATCAGTTTGGTACAAAGTGCCTCAGAGTCTCAGACCTCGACATGCTGCCATCTGTTGGTATGAGAGGCAGAGAAACAACTCTGCACCAGTTACCTTTGCGTCCGTTAAACCCCAGTTCCAGTTTTTTTTGTTTTTTTTTCCGTTTCCCTCCTTTGACCCAGTTGGCTGCTTTTACACACCCAGAGCTGAAAGTTTCCCTCTGACGAGTCACAGATGTAGTCACTCTCAGGATCGGAAAGCTTTTATAGAAGCTGTTCTCCGAGCACGCTGTTGATGTTGGACGGATCGGTCGACTTTTTCTTAGAAGAGTCGGACTCGTTTTTTCAGTTCGTTCTTTTTCCACTGAGCGAGCCGGTCGAAGGCCGACATGGACATGCCAAAGACTCTGTAAAACTCTTCTGGTGAGAGGTGCCGCTGCGAGAGGACAGATCAGGCCACAAAAAGACAATCACATCACACAACGTATGGAAAAACAACTTGTTCGAGTGGATTCTTAAAAAGAACCAGAATTTACTTTTTTTTTTTCTTCCAAACAGCACATGACACATCATGAAAACACTGAGTAAAAAAGTCCAATATAATGAAATCTTACACCCAGAGGCTGTAGAAGTTATTGTGAACATAAAACTAAGATCAGGGGTGGGCAACATGTTTTTCCAGAGGACCAAATCAAGATATTTACAGCAACTGAAGTTCGCATAGAGAATTAAAATAATATTCTTGTAAACAGATAATTTGGAAAAAAAACAGACTTTTTCTAGTTGTAACATAACTAGCATGCTTGATAAAAAATGTGTCTCCCTAGTACTCTTTAGCAGGGCTTAATTTGTAAACCGACTGATGCCAGAACACAAATAGAAGGTGGTCCGGCGCGCGGGGGGCGTCTGTGGGTCCTCCCCCAGAATATTTGGAATAAAAGAGATGCCATTTTCTGCATTTTGGTGTATATTAACAGGTTGTTAAACATCTGTACGCGTTTGATTAAATTGATTAAAACAGGTCTCTCTTGTAAACGAGTTTTCGAGGCTCAATGAGACTAACAACCTGTATAAATAAAGATTGAAGTAAAGATTGTAAAGATTGAAGTGAAATTACTATTTTAGAGAGCAACAAGCCGAGCAGCTCCGATTCTGTCAACTTCACTGTCCGACCCGAACTCTTCTCAGCTGAATTCAGTCCTGAGTTGTTGCTCCTCCTGCTCTAATCTGGATTACCACTGCCTTCAGGTGCTTCAATTCTCTGTTGTCCTGCTATGGACAATCCATCCATCCATTTATTATAGATAATAAACTGGACTGTCTTTTCAACATTTTGATGGCTGTTGTTTTGATAAATTAGTGCCGTTGTTTTGAGGGCTGTGGTAGCTCAATGGTCTGTGGTTGCGTCAGGAAAAATAACTGCCAAGTCTTCGTGCGACTTAGTTCGCTGTGGCGACCCCTGAAGAAGGGAGCAGCCGAAAGAAGAAAAAAAAGTGCTGTTGTTTTGAAACGTGATGTAATGTGAATAATACACATCAAAACATTTCTCTCGTATTTTTATTTTTTACTGTAAGCTTCTTTATTTATGTCTGAAATGTATGCAGGAGTTCTGACCCATCAGCAGTTGTGCACGCACTCTGTAGAGCTGTCTAGAGACGCTCCTGTGCGTAAAAAGTGCACTGTCTGCAGAGCGCACAGCTGAAGGTGGATGAAGATGTTCATCCCCGCGGGATATGCGGTCCTGCTGGACAGGAGCATGTGCGTGAGCTGGTGCGCATGCTGCGTCTGGAACTTCCACTCCACAGGTTGGGCAATGTCTCCTCTCGTTGTATCTTTAATAAATAATAAAAATAAAAATGCGCAATGAATTTGAACTTTTAGGGGTGGAGATTTGAGTTGCTGGATGCGAGCAAAAAGTTGCCAGAAGGCACGCGGTCAAAATGAGAGAGTTCCCGGATCTTGTTCCGGCAGGATCTGGCTCAAATTAACCACTGCTTAGGAACGTAAGACACACTTTCTATAAACTGGTTCTTGTAACAATACAAGTGTTAGCTTAAATATGCAACAACAACAACAAAAATGTATATTTTCAAAAGGTATATGTTTGCTTTTTGGAGCATTTAAGTTTCAGTTCTGGGAACACAGCAACTCAAAAGAAAAGTTTTAGCCCATCTTAATCCAAATGATTTTGATGCAGTGTTTCCCCTACTACTATGCAAGCGGGGTGCCTCGCCCCGTCGACAGAACTGAGTGCCCTGCATACTGACAACCCCCCCCCCGACAACTGTTCGTATCGATGTAGCATGGGCCGCAATACAAACGTGCTAGCAAAAATGCTATTGACGTACTGCTCCGTTAACCCCCCAATCGACAATTACCGGCAGCAACATAGCGCTAAACACAGATGTGATCCCCCCCGATAAAATACCGGCAGCAACGTAGCACTTAGCTAGCAGTCAGGCAACACAGATGTGACTCCGCCCCCTGTCGCAAAATAAAATATGACGAGCGCCCTGCCAAGGTAGCTGATCTAAGGGAAACACTGTGATGTATTTGTCCAAAGATGAACTAAGATTTTAACTTCCTTAACTTTTGTTAATAAAACTCGTGTTTTTATCAACTTATTTATAAGTTTTCATTTCAATTAAAAAAACTGGAGGCCAGATGGTGATTGTACAAAGGCTATTTTTGGCCATCGGGCCACATGTTGCCCACATCTGATTAAGATATTTTCTTTCTTGTAAGAGTAAATGCAATATAATCTATGAATATTTGTAGACAGATAAGTGATTAAAGTAGATATTTCAGACATAAATTCCTTTACCTCTAGTCTGGCTCTGTCCACATCACTGGGAAGACGCTGCTGTCCTCTAACTGACACTACAAGAGCTTCATATGGGTAAATCTAACAGAAACAAGACAATAGTACAAATACTTATCTAATGTGCTCAATAAATACGTGTTCTTTACTTTTAATATTTACTGCTTATAATCTTATCCTGGCACTTAAATGCACCGTTGGCTTCATTTAACATGTGAATTAGGCAAAAGAGAAAAACGCTAAAATCATGGTGCCTTGAGAAAGTTTTCAGAAGGTTTGCATTGATAATACCTGTACTAGCATGACAGACCAAAACCACAATCCATAACAGAGTTTCAGGAGTTTGATTATGTTGTTGACATACAGTAGATTATCAGTAAGAAAAATATTAGATTATGATAATTAGGGAACTGCTGTCTGACATTGATTTATTTTACAGTTAATATAAGAACAGCACAGTCACTGAAACTGAAACATGTTCTTTCTTCTTGTATATTTATATTCATAAAACTCAATTATCCTTAAGACTGTCAGGTCAGTAGAGTCCATATAAGGTGGAGGGTGGAATAGAACAGATTAAGAAGGGTTGTCACTGCCCCCCACTTGTCCACCCCTCACTGGTGCCCCTGCATAAATATTTTGAATGTACAAAAATTACTAAAATGTGTCTTCTTTTTCTTTTGGCTGTTCCATCTTCAGAGGTCATTGCGCCGCATTGAGATTATGTTTATCCCGCCCACTGCTCACATCTGTGACATCATCGAGGAGCAAAGATAATGTCCAAAGAGGGCAACTGCTCACAGCTGATTAAGCAACTATTTGATTAACACCAAGACCAAATGGATCTGTGTCACAAATAATTTGTAATCTTTTTACAATAAATTAATAGAATAGATAATTAATGCTAATTTTATTAAAGCTTTATGATATAAAAGGAAAAATATTATGTCATTTACAAGTAATGATCTAGATCTGGTCAGTCAATAACGACACAACTCAGAAACTACTTATAAAGGTTTGAATAACAGTACTGGAAAAACTTATATTTATTACTATTTAACTGTTATGCAGTTGATACTTAAAAAATGTTCACTGCATACCCATAGATACTTTGAAGGATGAAACTTGTCTCTACTGATATTGACCAACCATCTTCTCGCTTTGTGTAAAGGAAACCAAATAATAGTCAAATATATAATATTAATTTCCAATGTGTAAATATTAAATCAGAGGTAATACAAGGTTGCACTATTTAATAATTTGTGCTAAATTGTAGCATGATTCAGCACAGAGCTACACATGTACGACACAGAAGCTAATATGTACTAGCCAATTCAATAATTAACAGTGATTACATCAACATTATAGGCTCATTTTAACTTTCACAGTTACATTTTTATCTCCAGTTATGGTTGGATCACATTCACACTGACGTAAATAAGATTAAATCTGCTGACTTGTGAAATGAGACACATTTTCAGTTAGTCCAACCGTAGCACACGCAGCTTTATGGCATTTTTACATACATCACAAAACTTATATACATTCAATTATATTAATATTATCGTTAATAATATTACATAATCATCCTTTACTGTTGGCTGTTTTGCCATTATCTACAACAATGATAAGTCCAGACTCTTGCCCTCTTTGGTTATGGCTTCTGTCCCTCCAGTGAGTCACATCACGTGACCAATGCGCCCTCTAGTGACCTCTAGTGGTCTAATTTAACTATTGTCTTGTTAAATTTCCATCCCCATCCAGTGACTACACATAGAAAAAACATCATAAATGTGATACTTCAAGGGACAGTCTGGTGATTTTGAAGTTGTGTTCTGTCAAATGTTTATCAGTAATTAGCATCTTATCATCTGGGACATCAGCCTTAAAGCACCGAATATGAAGATTAAGAGGCAATGGTCTTTATCCAGGCGACATTTAATAAGTCTAAAAAACAATTAAAAATACATGTACATTGGCTACCCTTTAGTTTAGCCTGGACAAAGATATTTACCATTTTTTATACTTTGTGCTCTATGACGGATGTCACGGCTGACAAGGTAGCTATTGATAACTGTATTTCCCAGAACATCACATCAAAAATGACTAAACAATCCCTTTTAGAAACTCATTAAAAACAAAGTCTGTTTTATTGTTTCTGCAAAGATAAGATTCTAAAGTAGAAAATAGTGGAAATACATCAACATTTTATGTCAATTTGTTTTAGTTTTTCTTCTGAGTACAACTATGTTTTTTAAAAAGTACTCTGGAGATTTTATACATATTTTTCATGTTTCAACTATAAACATAAAAAGAAAAGACTGTGTTGAGGAGCTGCTTTTGTTCTTTTATAGACACTGACAGTCAAGTACAAATCAGTTACCCTATGAAAGTATTTGTTACGTAATTCAGGTTATGTCGGTGCATTTTGAAAAATACACAACATGGTTCCCAAATCATCTTCAGATTCTGAAGAGATGCATGTTGTAATTGTGATTCTTTTGTCATGAGAGAAAAGACTTAATGCATCACATAAAGAACAAAAACTACAAACAAATATACCATTATCATTGCCAGTGGTTATTTATCTGCTTCACCTTGTCTTAGATAAATGAATCGGTCAACTTAAAAATAAAATCACTGATTTAAAAAAGGTCTTTGTGGGGGAAACAAGATGATCAGACCTTTCCCTTCATTCTGTAGCGGTGTCTGCTGCAGCTTACCTTGTATTCTGAAAGAAAAGACAAAAGAAAGAAAGAAAACACAGCGACTCACTGTTGTGTGTAATTGCATTACTGTTTCATTAATAAATACACTCCAGAGAAACAACACGCATCAGAGACGACGTAAATTAAGAATAGTGGAGATAAGCAGATTAAAGACTTACCTCTTATCTGCCAGTTCACTGCGTTACTGCTGTCATACTGGTAATAATCTGTACTCGTACTCTCCGGCTGCGGGAACACAAACAAAGGTACAGTATATAAAAATAAACAAAAACATGGCTGAGAAACTGTTTTATCTTCATATAAGACAGCTGATAGACACTTTATATTCATCTGCCCAACAAACCCTCACAGTAACGGGAGGAAAGGACCTTTTGTCTCTCCTTGGGAAGCAAGATTAGTTTCAGGTTGAGCAGCAAATGAAGGACTTTGTTCTTTATCTCTGTTTAATGAAGGCTCACATCATTTCTACTGCACTTCCTTAGTTAGAATTAATAAAAGCGATAAAGCTTCACGGAGAATTATTGAAAAACGAAACAAATATTTCTTTGAACCGAAGTGCGAGATTCTGCATTTAAATCAACCTTTGCTGTCAAAAAACAGAAACCAACAACTAAGTTCATAGTAAATTCACTCAACATAAAACAATATAAAATTTATTGGTACCACTCCCCTTATAGATGGCTAATAAATAGCTTATAGATATGTTATTAATTCCTCAAATTGTTTATTATGCATTAATTAAGGGTGACCGAGAGACAAAACTGACCAGTTTCTTGCCAAATTGTGGTCCAACCTATATATTTAATCTAGAGATGTTCTAATAAACATTTCAGACTAAGCTACTACCTTGTAAGCACAATAATCATTAGCAAATCTTATTTTTTAGGATATAATATTAGTTGTAGATACTTATAATGCAATGATAAACAACAATATTATTAGTTTACCTGGATTATTGAGCATGAACTTTGATGTCTTGAACCACTTTGGCTGTGCTGCCTGGGAGGAGTCAACGGGAGGACCGCCCCCAGAAACCATCTTATCACCATCAAACTGGTTGGTCCACTGTAGGAGTGCACTGCTTAGTGGGGAAAACAGTTTGTTTGTGACGCCTTGGACTGATGAAGTCCTTCGAATGGAGGGAGAAACGTCTCTCAAAAAACAACAAAAAAAAAAAAAACCTGTCCAGATGACCTGACTGAACATTGTTGGTTTTATAAAGTACTTATAGAGGAATCAATTAATAACATATCTATTAACTATTTATTAGCCATCTATAAGAGGAGCCTTATTGTAAAGTGGTACCATTTTATTGTAAGTCAGACTGAAGTGAACATATTTCTTGTCCAAAGAAAAGGCACGTTTGAGAAAAATGTTTCTAATTAAACAGATCGTGGAAATTCCAAATATATTTATAAGACTATTTTTGAACGTTTTTACTAATGAAAATCACAGAAATTTCCTAAAGAAATCATTTAAATGGAGAGATTTGTCATTCAAAAAACATTTTTTTAATCATGGATTTGCTGTAATTAATTGTTTTAAACATAAAACTTGGAGTTGCACAGCAATATGCATAAAAGTCAGCTACGTCAAGTGTAGTAAACTGTTTTAAAGTTTATTTGTGTTCAACTATCCCGTTGGACCTTTTTTTTTTTAAACAATTCAGCCCACCTTAAATCTTTTAAACAATTGTGCTATCGCTCAGTATATTCAAATTCAAATTCAAATTCAAAATTCTAAAATACTTTATTAATCCCAAAGGGAAATTATTTTGTTGTTGTAACTCGTTATCCTCATTTCATTAAGAGATGTTATAGATACTGATGGCTGTAGACAGGAAGGATCTCTTGTAAAGGAAGAAACTGGCTGCAGATGCCGTCCGATCCGTCCACCCAGACTCGGCTGGCCTCTCGGTTCCCCCGGGCTGTAGGACCGCATGAGTGCCGGGCAGAACTCCTCCCAGAGCGATGGCCACTCCTCCCAGCAGTCTGCTGAGCTCCTCATCGCTGCAGACAGCCAACTGTAGGCGCCGAGGGACGATCCGGTCCTTCCACTGTCATGAGCCACGTTTGCTGCTAGTTCCAGGATCTCAGTGGTCAGACACTCGAGCACAGCTGGCAGGTAGATGAGAATGCGTCCACAGAACATCCTTTTCAACTCATTTGAGATTTGGGGCTGTGGTTGAGATATTATTTGAGCTTTTGAGATGTTAATCAGCTGCTGTTGGTTGTAGAAAACTGCCTTGTTGCCATGGTTACGCATCATAACAAATGTCCAAAACTAAAAAAGTTTCAGTAAAAATCCTTCCAGCTGCACAGCATCTGATACCAGAGGAAACAATTATCCAAAAAAATGTGATTTACATCCAGAAAAAGATGAATTAAAGTTTCCAAAAGCAAAATCTCAGAATGAATGTGACAGAGCTGCTCCAGCATGCAGCCAACTTGAGCGGCGCAATTCTAGAACAAAGATATATGGGGTGAGAATGACTCCCAGCTACTTCCACAGCAAATTTGATCACCAAATCTGTCAAATTGACCAAGTTTTAGCCATTTTGGGATCAAATAGTTTGATTATCTATGGCAGCCATCTTGAATCAAGCCCTCCTAAAGTGTCAGTTCCATCCAATAATTGCTTCCTGAGATTTTCTGTATAATCCATCCAACATTTCATAAAATATTTTTGCTAAATGACAAATCCAAGTAATTACATTATTGTCTGCTGCCATGAAAAGCAGCTAAAACTATTAGACTAACTTTTATTTATATTTTTGTTGACAAGAATCATGATTAATCTGCACTGCTTTAATGTTCAGCCTAAAATGTAATGGTAGCACAGAGATTATTTTGCTTCTTAAAGGACAAGAAGTTCCTGCAAAACAAGTAAAAGAAACAATGAAACCACAAATGCTTACTCTGTTCAGTCCATTTCTGCCGTAGCCGGGCAACGAGGCAGATTTGGCAATGTAGGAGTCTGGAAAAAAACAAAACCCTAAAATTAAACTAAACACGCATCACGGACAGACTCAGTTCCTATGATTTGGGCACTTTAGTATTTTTTTAATTTAAATATTTAATAATCTTAGTAAAGAATGTTCTGATGAATTTCTAAATATAACCCCTTTGCATTTAAGTGTGTAAAGATTTTCTGTTTAAATCTTTTGTTGCACCAACACATAAAATGTAATGCCTTATTTATTATAGCAAAGCAGCTCGGTTTGTGGAGAATCAAATATTGTTTTTTTTTTAATTAAATCAGCACCAACAGAAATACAGAGACGCGCAGCAGAAGCTCTGCTGTCCAAACGGTGACCAGGCCTTTCCCACAAACGTTCGGGAATAGAGCAAAGACTAGTTTTGTGATATCTCCCAAAACAGCAAACAACTACAACAGGGCTATTCAACTGGTGGCTCGGGGGCCAAGTCAGGCCCAAGGGTGAGCTCAGTTCAGCCCACCAATGGGTTCATTTTAAATAAAACTAGACTTTAAACCATAAAACAAACTTAATGACAATAACTGCTGGATGTCCGGCCCCTGAGTCTTGGCTTTCAGTAACTGTGCCCCCCTGAGCAGTTTGGTTGAATAGCCCTGATCTACAACAAGCTGTTTTCTAATGAGGGGTTTAATAAAGAGTGTTGGGAGGATGTGTTAACAGTAGAGCCGTCATTTTTAACCTGAACCCCTGGCCCCGCCTGACCCGGATTTGGTCTGGGCCATAATAATGTGCTTAATGTTTGAGCCGGATCGGTGTCGGGCTTTTGATTGCGTCAGCGGATGCACACGGCTGACGATTCAATTATATGGTAACATGGCTTGCCATATGAGCACCAGCCATTTGACCACGCGCTGACCGGCCTTGAAAGAGGTAAAAAGTTCAGTTAAGCTTCAGATGGACTACTGCCAGTGATCCATCAGCCAAAATGCACGTTCGTTCAGCTGCTGCACTCAGCGGTTGCGTGCGGCCGGCGACCCAAACAGGTGAGATCACAAAACATCAAACATGTCAGAGCAGGGTCCGTGTTTGAATAATGCAGAATGCAGGCAGAAAGGACAAACACCCCTCAGCTCTGATCTTCTGCCCCCTACATTTAGCTGCGTTCGTCTGCCAACCATTAATAACTATATAAGCAGTCAAAGCTTAGTTAAAAATGTTGGGGGGGTTCGGGTTCAGAGCTATAATTACTGTTAATTTGTCGGGTCATGTGGGGTTCGGAAATGATGACTATGGGCTGGGGCCGAGTCGGGTTAGGGGTTTTTTTTTGGGCCCGAATGCAACTCTAGGTAACAGTTCCTGTTCCGTGTGGCCATTTGGGATGAAAAATTATCATCCATGCCTTAGGGCTTAGCTTGTCAGCCCGGTCAGAGTTAAACTCTGTTCATCCAAACTGAGAACGTTCAAAGAGCTACACAACATGTAATGCATCATTTGTTGTTCGTAATCTTTCCACAGAGCCCCAAACCTAAAAGATTGGGACTGTTTAACATTTTCATCACGGCAGCAACGGTGGCATGGTGGATCAGTTGGTAAAGCTGCCGTCTCTCAGTAAGAAGGTCGCCTGAGTGAATCCCTGCCAGGGGACCTTTCTGTGTGGAGTTTGCATGTTCTCTCCGCGTATGCGTGGGTTTACCCCAGGTACTCCGGTTTCCTCTCACAGACCAAAAACATGCATGTTAGACTGATTGGTAACTCTAAATTGTCCCTAGGTGTGAGTGAGAGAGTGAATGGTTGTTTGTCTCATTTGTCTCTATGTCCTGTCCCCCGCCTCTCGCACAGTGATGGCTGGATATGGGCACCGGTGACCTCTGCGACACGAAAAAGGAAGAAGCGGGTAAAGATGATGGATGGATCACAACAACAACATTTCACATCTGTCCACATCTGTGGCAGGGCTCTGCTGTGTTGTGGTGCTGCATCATCATCAGCAGAGGACAGTAGAGTCTCACAGCTTTCTGCTTCATCGCAGACTCCTCCTCCATCACTTGCCCTTCCCAATACTTTCCCTCTCACTCCCTCTTTCCCTTCAGCCGCTCTTCTTCACGTTCATGTTCAAAGGAATTGAATTACACCTCGACGTCAGAGAGATGAGGTGAAGGTCTCGATGCAGCAGAACACTGACTGACGTGTGGAGACTCGGAGCTATAATGAGCTCGTCAAACCAAAATGAGATTTACTTCCACACTTGTGACACAGTTTTAGAAGTATTGTGTTTTTGATTGATATGTGCACCGGCACAACATGAAATGTACTCGCTTAAGCATCTTGCACGTCAGTGTTTTCTGTGTGCTCCTATGTTCACTACTGCTGCTTTTATTTCAGGCGTTTGCACAGCTTGCTCTACTTTTAGTCATTAACTTTTTATAGTGACTAAAGTGGGATTTTAAACCCAATCTGACTGAAAAGTTGGCATTTTTTTTAAAAGAGTTCTCACACAAGCACTAAAAGAGGCATCAGAATATCGTAGCGCTTGAAGAAGAATATAAATTCAAAAAGAATAGAATGTATGGTTTGTGCACTTCAGGTTATGAAGATGGCTGGGAGATTCAGTTAAGCGAATTTAGGATCCGTGCTGCTTAGACAAAGGAGATAAATAAAGCACCAGTCATCCTCCCACCTGTAAGCAACAAGAAAGAGTTGTGTTGGTGATGCGAGCTGACGGTCTCCCGTGTGAGGCTCTGCTTCTTCAGCAGTAAAAAACTCAGCAGGATAAAGGAGATGAGAGAGAAGCTGACTCGTAATGAAGGATGAACGGAGACATGAGAACATCTCCATGATCCACTCACCGTTGTCTGAGCTGCAGGTGGACCTGGGATCTGAGGACAGAAAGAACAGCAGTTTCATTTCACCGGCTTCCCACTCTGGATAGAAAACAATCTGTGCCACTCTCAGTGACTTTGATGTTCTAATAGAAAACTAAAAGCTCTGCTTGATAAAACGTTTTAGGATAAAACTGATTAGAAACAAAGTGTCCAGTGTTTTCAGCAGAGCTGAAAGATTCCTCTTTTTAAAGCTGTTACCAAAAGCTCTTTTGCAAAAGTAAGCAACTTGCTTTAAATTGTATGTTGAAAGAATAAATATTTGAAATCATCTATGTCTTTAAGGATCAATTACTAATGCTTAGTCATAAAAAAAGTTTAATAGAAATACAAATTATTGTGACAAAAGGAGTCTTCTCTTCTCGATGCGTCCTGTCTTTTCTCGGCTCAAGTTTAGTCATTTTGTAACGCTGAGGTAATGTCGGACATCTTGTGCTTTATAAGACTTCTGTGTATGTGAAGTGAAATTTCATCCATGGTGAACTTGTAAAAAGGCGCTGCACCTCAAATTAAAGTTGACGGATGAATGTCATTTACATTGGAGAAGCTATCCCTGCTTTATAAGAGGCAATACGTTTTCAGTTGAAATAGAAATAAAAATACTCATTGCAAAGTAAGAAATCAAACATAAGAGGTTATCAGGTGGTTAGGAGCTCAGTCCAGTTGTTTTCCAGATATACTGAATGCCATTCTGAAAAGCGGGTCCACAGTCGGTGTAAACAAAGCTCTCTGCTCTGTGAAAGCTTCAGTCACATGACTCACCTGCATTAGGCTGGCTCTAGTTTGTGTACGTAAAAACGCTTGAAGCATTCACACTATTGTCATCCATTGTTCTTTTGTACGTTTCTCATCCCGCAGTTTTCAAGCTACTTCAACAAATCTTAAATCAAAACGTTCGGCTCTTTCAGGATAATCCTGCTATGACTTTTGATGTTTGTGCAACTTTAGCTTTTTTTGAAATATTTAGCCTTTTCTGCCTTTTTTTTTTCTCATAGAAAATTAATTGAGCTCATTTTACATCCTTCAAATCTTTAGATCTGTTTACAGCGTTTTACGGCTCCTTTCACATTTTGTTCTGGTTCAGCTTCTTTTTGCAAATTTAAATTTTTTTCCCAGCTACTTTCAGCTAATTTCAGCAATTTTTTTTTTTTTTTCAGATGTTTTGTGCAACTTTCAGATTCTTTCTACTAACTACAACATGTTTATGCATCTTCTTTTTTCTGATTTCAGCTTGTTATGCTCCTTTAAACACATTGCTGCACGTTTTAGCTTTTACTGCTATTTCAGCTACTATTTAGCTGTTTTTATGCTAATTTTAGTTTTATTTAATGCTATTTCCACATTTTTTGCACTCATTTAAACTTTTTTCAGCCTAATTCAGTAAAAATGTGCTCTCTCCACTTCTTTCTGCTTTTTAGCTACTTTTCATCCGGGGTTTTTGTGTGTGTGTGTGTGTATGTGTGTGTGCTAATTTCAGCTTTTTCCAGATAATTTCCACTTTTTTGTGCTCATTTCTGTTTCTTTCAGCCTAATTGGGCAAAATTGTGCCCTCTCCACTTTCTTCTGCTAATTTAAGCATGTTCTACATTTTCATCTGTTTTTAGCATTTTAAGCTAATTTTAGCTGTTTTCAGACAAATTTAAGATTTTTGTGGTAATTTCTGCTACTTTAAGCCAAATTAAATTATTTCTGCTAATTTCAGCTTGTTCTTTCTTTCTTGCAGCTTATTTCTGCTAGTTTCAGCTTTTTCTACTATTTCAGCTACTATTTAGCTGTTTTGTGCTAAATTTAGCTTTTACAGCTAATTCCACATTTTTAAAGCTAATTTAAGTGCCTTCAACTTTCTTCTGGTAGTTTAAGCTTCTTTCTGACTTTTCAGCTACTTTTAATCTATTTTTTGCTAATTTCAGCTTTTTAGCCAATTTTCTAATATCGTGCTCATTTCTGCTTACTGGTATTTAAACCAATTTCAGCAAATATATGTTATTTCTGCTTTCTTCTGCTACCGTAGGCTTGTTCTTCCATTTCAATTTGTACATGCCAGCATGTTTTTAGCTGTTTTCAGCTGTTTTTAGCATGTTCTTCAGCAATAAACAGTCACACTGCATTTTTGAAGGAAATGCAGTTTGTCTAGTTAAATATAGCCTTTGTGTTTAATGTCCAATCTACCTTTAGTCACTTCAGCACTGCATGTAAACAAACACATGGTAGTTGGCAAAAGGTCACAAATTAAAACTTTTTTTAAAATTAAGAGCCCATTATCACAAGGAGTGAAATATTGTGCAGATTTTTTACTTTATGAACAATTATTGTCCCGTCTTCATGAATTTGCTATACTTATGTAAACAGCAGTGATTATGGACATCACTTGTTTTGTCGCTCTTGTGAACGGAGCTCATTTCTTCCTCTCTCCCGCTCTCTGACCTTCATTTACCTCCAGGCTTCAAGTCGTTCATCTTCTCCCTGCAGCTCCAAATTGCTTTGGTTTCTTTTTTCCTCCCTTTCTCTGCTTTACATCTAATTCCCTTCTGATTGTGTTCTCACTCTCAGCCGTCCCTATTAAAGAAACCTTCTGGCTTCTTTCACTTCTGACCGCCTACCCTCACTCCCTTTCCCCACGAGTCCCTCCATCGTTGTCTCACTCTCACAGCTGCTGGAGGCAATGAGAAGGAGTGGGATCAAAGAAGAAAGTGCAGACAAATTGTCTCGGAGTGGCGACATAATCAAAAAGTGATACAATCAAACGGAGACTCACAGCCGTTAAGGGAGCTGTACTCCAGACTGTTCAGCGTCTCTTTGCTGTTACACCCGGAGCTGCGGGCGCTCCTCCAGTGGTCATTGTCGTAACAACCTGACCGAGCCTTCATCTCTTCCTTCAGGATCATCCTTCCAATTCCCTGCAATTTATCCAAAAACAGATAAAGAAAGAAAATGGTTTAAAGAACAAGTTGAAATTAGGAAAAAGGACAGATAAGAAATAAAAGTTGATAAATGAGTTGGTAATAAATGAATGCATCGTTCTGTGCACTCCAAATTATTGAACAAAGACATCCCGAGGTTGATTACTGCTCAAAGTATGTGTAGGGGAAGAATATCAGCTACTACCACACAAAACTTTTAGCTCAAACTCTGTAACAATGGCTGAGTAAGAGCTATTTTTGTGTTGGCTAAGGTTGTTTAACTCAAACTGAGTTGACTCCGTAAGTCAGTCGGCTATAAATGCTCATTCATAATTACTTTGAGAGTTCCATTAAAACTAGGGATGCACGATATTATTGGCATGGTATCGACTAATATAAGCGATAAAGTTACAAATGTAAATATCGGACATCGGCTATTCCATCAAAATAACTCACTGATATAAAAGGCTTCTGTTTTTTTAGATTATATATTCATATAGTGTTACATCATTTTCAGTCCCCTTTTTAGCATCTGCTTTTGGTAGCAGGCCAAACTGACAAAAAAAAAATACTATAAATTAGTATTTTAATACCACAGCAGAGAAAGCTATGTAGTCTCTGTAAATAGGTCTAGGGGAAAAAATAGCGGTATCAGCTATCGGCAAATAAGTTTTAGTATATCAGCATATCGGATATCGGCCAAAAATCCAATATTGTGCATCCCTAATTAAAACCCAACCACTGGTTCATGAGATATTTTGCTAACACAAACACAAGCACATACAATGACAGACAGTTATATGGTTGGCTCTTTTTCATGGCAGTGGGTGTTAATAAGGCTGAAGAAGAGGGGAATATGATGAAAGAATAGCGTTGTTGTTACAGAAGGTAGAAAATCAAGAGGAAGAGCAGAGGAGCAGCACTTTGAGTCATGTCCAGTGGCTGCGGTTGGAACGCAGCATTTAATTAACTGCCTTGTTAAATATTAATGTTGACTTAAATTATAAAAAGGAGAAGGGGAGTGTCTTCTTTGCTTACCCTGTTTATGTTGTGATTCCATCCATCCTCCTCTCCTCCAGATGAAAACCTCCTCACCCTGGAGACTAGAGGAGGGAGGAAGAGGAAATGAGGGGAAAAAAAGAGCGAGTGAGAGGAACGAAGACGTGAACATCAAAAGCTACTTTCTGCATTCAGACGTTCCTTCTCAAACGTGTCATTCAGCTCTGTAGCTACTCTTTGGGGAAACATAAAATTTGTCTTTGTGTACAGTAAAGGAGAAGAATGTTAGATTTGAGAACCTGAATACACAGCGGTGACTGACGGCTGGAAATTGCAAAAACAATTTTTTTCATTCAACCTTTATTTAAACAGGTTAAAACAGAGTAAAGACAAAAGAAGCTAAATTCTTGCTGTATGCCAAAAACAGAAGACATTAGCAAAACTCTAGGTAAAATCTAAAAGTAGCAAATACCAAACTGTCAAAGCAGCTAAATGGTACCTAGATGCTAAATGTAGCAACAACTAAAAACCGAAAATATCAAAAGGCTTGCAAAAAGTAGCAAAAAAAAAAGCTTGCTAAAGGCAACAAAATGATAGCTAGAAGCTAAAAATAGCAATGACCAGCAATAAGTAGCAAAAGGCTTAATAAAAGCCACAAAACAATAACTAGAAGCCAAAAGTGGCAAAAGATTAACTAAAATCTAAAATAGCTAAAAACGAACTAAAAATCAAAGGTTGCAGAAATTAGTTAAGTTAAAAGTAACAAAATGCTTGCTGAAACCTAAACTATAAAAAAACAAAAACAAAAGAACCAAAATTCTACCTAAGAGTAGCAATATGCTAGCTACTACATAAAAGCTAAACATAACAATGTGGTAACACTTTAGCATTAGCATTAGCAATTTCATAATGTTGTACTGGTGTCATCTTAACTATGTCTGACTATCACTTACCGAGTACCAAATGATTGCCTGGCTATTATTTTGTTCACTGATGTTCACACCAGTAATGGTTAACTACCCATTAGCTCCTGATTTCTTCCTCTTTGGTTTCCTTGGTAACCATTGGTTCTTGATTAGTTCCTCTTCATTTTCAAGGTACTAACCAGTAGTCCCCTAATTATCTTCAAAATCTGCAGAAGTGGTTAGATTGTAAATAACGTCCGTCCGTCCGTCCATCCATCCATCCATCCATCCATCCATCCATCCATCCATCCATCCATCCATCCATCCATCCATCCATCCATCCATCCATCCATCCATCCATCCAA